TGTAGAAAAGATTATATTTAGTTGTGCCTGGATATCAACTGGCTTAACAGAAAAGCAAGCCTATGAGTGTTTTAATGAATCTTGATTACTGCAAAATAATGGTCAGTGGTGGGGTGCTCTTAGTATGAACAGTCTAGCTACAGTTAGTGATTTGGAACAAACACAAGGATTTTGAGTTCTACAATGTGGGCATGTGACTTGTCCACATAAATCCACAGTGAAACCCTGGAGGCTGCTATGTATCTTCCTATTGTGCTCTTAAAGATTAGAGAGGGAGCGTAGTCATCAGTCTCCTCAATTATTTGGAGCCAATTTTTGCCTTTAGTTGGCGTTGAGAGGGTTTCACCAAGCTATTGGGGCTTGCCAGTAAAAACCACTTCCCTTCATTATGTATGTCCCTTGCTGTACAGTAACTCTAAATTGCTGTCCGCCTTCATTGGTGTGGAACAATGTAACTGAGAAACCATCTACTATTTAATTTGGCAGAGTAAGGATGGTTAATTAGTGTGCCATAATGCAAATAGCCATTGGTTGCTGAACTACAGAGGCAAAAAAGCTAGATGGCTGCTCCTGCAGCTCCCAATAACTCTCTACTCCTTGGCTCCTAAACATGAATTGTCCTGAAGAAAGATCAATAATAGTTGATGCTACTTAATGGGTCTGAAGTCGGTTAACTTTCGGACACAGTGTTGATTCAGTGTAGCTAAAGCAAGATAGGCTATTGCTATATTTTTCTTATTAGGTTACTTTCAACTACATTAGAGACTGAACTGTGCCTAACAGCTGTGAATCTGAGAATTCATGACATGCCATGTTTAAAATATGGCAGATCATTGAAATGGTCTTTGTACTGACTCAAGATCAGAGTGAGTATTGTGAAATGGATCATTCAGCTGCCTAAATCCAAGCCTGTTTCTGAAGATGTCCATAAAGTGCCTCATCTTGAAGAGAGGAGTATATATACACTTATTACAAAATGCACATTGCTGTTCTTACTGGTGTACTAGGTAATGATCACATACAACACCTCTATGCAAATATTACATAATTTTTCAATAATATGACCGCTCCTCTCCCTTCCATGAAGCCATAGAATTTCATATACCACGGAAGTCAAGATAAGTATTGTGCATAGGCAGTGATCCCCATTAATTCAATATATAATTTTCTGTGCAAGAAATGGCTGTTCAGGCTATGCTTATCTGTATTTTTTCTTAAGTGAATTGATTGAGTACTGAAACCACCTTATTGCATGCTGGGAAAAACAAACTAGATGTGAGGTAGTAGGATCCAAGACTCCATCCTTCCCTTCCTAGTCCCTCTTCCTCACACTTATTTGAGGCAAAGAATAATTGTTTCCTCTCCTTTCTAGAAGGGTGACATAAAAAGCAAGAGTTAGCGGTAGTTATCCATTTTGAAAAAGCTTTGGTAGCAAGTGATAAGGCTTATTTTTGTCAAGCAATATTAATATTGCTACATTTTTAATTTGCCAGTTTTAACCTGCTATGACTACCCTAGCTCTGTGGGAACTGTCTGTGCCCATTTGTACCAAATTTGTTCTAAGAGCTTCCTCTCTTCAAACTGCCTTAATAGTTGATGTAATGGGGCAAGAAATACCATGTGTGGTGGCTCTTATGGTGTAGACAACTGTCAACCTGAGTGTCTCAACTAATTTTACAGTTGCCAGCATGCACTTAGAGTATTTTCACATAAGGAACAGCTGATATTGAGTAATCTGGGGTTGAGTGCAAGGAAAACCCCAATAATACTTTGGTTCTTGAGAGGGAAGATATTGTCTAGAATATAATGACCTTCAAAGACTATCCAGGCTTGACTAAGTACATTCCTTTTCTTTATTTGGCTATAGATTTATGGAGAATATGTAATTATATACTGCACTGATACCTTTTTTTTTTAATTCAGGAACTTAATCTAGAGCAGTGCTCCCCAAACTTTTTACATCACACCCTCCCTTACCCCTGTCCACCGCCCCTTCCAGAGCCCGGAGTGGGGCTGCAGCTCTGGGAGCAAGAGATACGGACAGGGGTTGGAGGCTGGCAGCTGGGGGCAGGGCTGGCAGCCAGGGTCATAGCTGGGGGTGGAAGTGGGTGGTGCTCCCTCCCTGCCCCCTATGGGGGCTGGCCTAGGCTCCCCTGTCCCGAACACTCCTGTACGCCCCACCCCACAGTTTGGGGATCTCTGATTTAGAGCCATTATTCAAATATCTGATTATTGGAAAAGGCAGAAATGGTAGTAAATGAAGTGGGGAAATCCATAACAATGGTCCAGAATTCCTTTAGAAAAAAATAATTATTTACCTTTCTCTTTCCAAAAAACTGCATTGTGATGGAGTGTAAACCCCCCTACTGGCACTGAAACAGTTAATTGAGCTCCCTCCAGCTCCCTTTAGTGCACTGGCTGCAAGTGTAGGCTGGGCCAGGACAAATGAAACCCAGCTGGAGCTGGCTGGCTACTATGATGGGGCTACAGGACAAAAGGAGATGGTTTCTAGGGGCAGAAGAGGCCTTGTTCCTCTCCTGTAGTGACACTCTGGTGAAGCCAAGAGAGACATGGAGCAAGCTCTGGTGATGAGCCCTGATTTCGGACCTAGACTTCTGGGAAGCATTCTCATTGGAATAGGAGAAAACTTAAGAGGGATGAAAAGTCAAGCCCTAGGAGGACAGAAGTTAGTGTCAGTTTATATTTTTCAGCTGGGAGTTGTTGGAGGATGCTAGGGAGGAGCCTGGCTAGGCCCTGCCAGGAAAGAAGGGTGAGTGTTGAGAGGCTGTGGCACCTCAGAAGAATACAGGTACACAGTGGGCCTAGGAAGGGACTGTAGGAACCCTGCTACCAGCCTGACATAGCAAAAAGTCCAGGGAGGTAGCTGGGGGTAGGTCTGAATTGACAGCCCTTAGCCTGCTCACTACAGGGTCCCTGGGCTAGAACCCAGAGAAGCCCTCCTCCTCTGGGTTCTAGCCCAACAGCCATAAGGGAATGTGGTTTGAAGCCTCCTGATATAAGGGGATAGGGACTCTTGAAAGCTGTAAGAGGGGGCTATAAGGACCACAGAGCCCAGAGTCAGGGGATGAAGACCCAATTTAAAGATGTCTGATTCTTGTTTGGACTCTGTTACCCCAGATTGGGGGGGAGGACGACATATGATGAACTGACTGCAGGGCCTTTTCAGGAGACAAGGCAGACCACCTCAGGGCCAGAGCTGGTGGTAGTGCTAGATGAGGAGAGCCTGCTATGCCACACAGCCACAAGGCGATAGTAATAGTTACTCTGCATTCACCCTCCAACAGCTTTATAACTTGAAGGCTGTAATAAGTCTAACTTTGTCACTGTTAAAATTCTTTTCTATCCTGATCCTATGGTTGGGGTCAAGTATCAGGGGGTAGCCCTGTTAGTCTGTATCCACAAAAACAAGTCCGGTGGCACCTTAAAGACTAACAGATTTATTTGGGCATAAGCTTTCGTGGGTAAAAAACCTCACTGGGTTTTTTGTGTAAGTAAAAAAAGATTGTTATATGGTAGGTTATCTACCCTAAGGGCTTTTAGTCTTCCATTATAAGACCTTTACTGAATCAAATAACTGTAGCTTAGTTGGAAGGAAAATTATGCACTTTAAAGAATTAAGGGATCAATTTTTTTTAACAGAGGAAATACATTTCCTTTTCTATATAAAGTCTTTATTCATAGCATGTTGGATGTGTGGGGTTTTCTTTCTTTTGTAAAGAAAACTCCCCCTCACCCTCCTCTTCTGTGCCTCTGGTTAGAAATGTGGAGGAGAAGAGGGTGTCTTGGAAAGGGTTCATGCCAATTTGATGCTGTGAAGGGGTTTTACCCTTTTAAAATGAGAGAGGTGTTTTTTACGCTTACAGAAGACACAAGCGTACGAGGAGTACTAGAGCCGCCCTAGTGTGTGTCCCAGCGCCACACACTGTGCGGTAAAGCTGGCTAGGCCCGGCTACTTCGGAGGGGAAATATAGGGAAGTTTTCCCTACTTCTGACCAGTTTTCAGAGTAGCAGCTGTGTTAGTCTGTATCCGCAAAAAGAAGAACAGGAGTACTTGTGGCACCTTAGAGACTAACAAATTTATTAGAGCATAAGCTTTTGTGGACTACTAATAAATTTGTTAGTCTCTAAGGTGCCACAAGTACTCCTGTTCTTCTTTTTACTTCTGACCAGACAGTCAGCACGCGATGTAGCAGCTGAAGACGCTGGGTGGAGCGATCCCCTACTACACTCTGACTGTTTAAGCCAAGTAGCATCTTCTCCCTGGTAGCAGAGACTAAAGGCTGACGGCGAAGCACGGGGCGCAGGGGCCTGTCCGTGGCACAGCGGCTCCCTCTCACCCCAGCAGATTGGCTGAAGCTGTGTGGTACAGGAGCGGGGCCGCCCCCCGCACGCCAGCAGGTGGGGCTACGGGCCGGGCTAGCCACGGACCTGCGCTCTCCTCCTTAGCTAGCTCGCTCCTGCCCGCAGCCCCCTCCAGCGGCTGGTGCAGCCAGCGCCGCCCCCGGGCCCTGGCTGGCTGCAGCTCCGCAGCATCCTCCGGCTGTTCCCCGAGAGACTCCGCGCTGCGGATGCTGCGGATGCGCCTCCGGTTTCCCGGCTCAGAGCCATGACGCCGCCCTGCGCGGGGCTGGCCGCTCCCGGCCTTTTGCAAAGCCCCCGCGCACCGTAGCCCGGGCCCGGCTTGCGGGGGGAGAGCCGCGGGCGCTCGCCCACTCGCTGCCGGTGCCTGGAGTCACTGGGGCTGCTGGCGGGAGGGGTTCCCCAGCCCGCCGCCCAGGTAAGCGAGGGGCGCGGAGCCTGGCCGATGGGCTGGTAGCTGCGCCAGCACCCGCGTCCCTGTGTCCGCCCCGAGCCGCTCCCTGCCCCCCGCCCCATGGGGGCTGGAGAGACACCCGCCCTCCCCTCCCGGTTAGGGGCTGGGGCCGCCCGCTTGCTGCCGGGGGGAACAGGAGGCCGGCTCCGTCCCGCATCCCTGCTGGGGGAGCAGCCCGTGCGTTGGCGTGTGGCTGGCAGGCTCGGCTCCCTGTCTGCGGAAAGGCCCCCGTGTCCCTGCTGCAGTGCTGAGTCAGGCCCCGCTTTCTGTCTGGTCCCTGTTGTTTTGCTTTGGGTTGAAGTTCTGGCTCTACATGTGGGGTGGGCAGCATGGTGTGTGGGGGTTGATAACTGAGGTACGCAGCAGGCTTGTGGGTATAGCCTGTTATTCCTGCCATCCTACTGTGCGTGTTTGGCTTGACTCCGTCATGCTTTATATTCTGCACCCCAAAAGGGGTGATAAGGAACCATTAGCAAAATCATGCAGTACTGTAGACAAAACAAATAACTCCAGTACTTGCCTTAATTCAGTAGGTCAGCTCCAGCAGAATAGCGTCCCAGGGCATCATTTGTGGGACTGGGTGGAAGGATTAATAAAACAAGATAAATGTTATCTATTTCTGCATGCGTATTTTGCCTTGGCAGTCTAGAGCCCATGATTCCCTGGCTTGTTTACTAAGGAGGACAGCAATAGTGCTCACTAATACTATTATGTTGTGAAGTTGTAAATGGGGTTCTCACTAGGTGGATAGGGCCTGATGTAAAGGCCATGGAAATCAATAGATTCCCATTGAAATCAGTGGGTTTTGGACGAGAGACTTATTAAAGGGTGAGGAGTGTCTGTCGAGATGCTCAGCGAGGGCGGTGACTTGATTTGTGATTTTGATACTGATGTCGCAATGAGCTACGCATGAACAAATCCCAGAGCTCATTCCAACATTGGGACCTAAACATCTCTGCGGTTGAGTATTACCACCTGTAAAGCTGGGAATAATATCTCACAGGGGCCTTGCGACATTTATTTAACATTAATATTTGCAGGACAGTTTGAGATCCTTGGATGAAATGAGCCATGTCCATGAAAATTATTATTTTTAAGTTTAAAAAAATATTTTAAATTAAAAGTCCAATGAAACAGACTCTTTTCATGAATGGACGCCAAACTCTTTACAAAAGATGTAGCTAGCTGATTCAGAAGAGGCATTGTTAAGCTTATTTGACCAGTGCAAACGGGAGTTGTTCTAGATACATTCTAATAGACAATAGTAACAATCTAGTGAAAATAGACCATTGCAAATTAGACACTAACCTAACAAGTACTGCCTCAAATGCATAAAAGGTTTTTGATCAGGTGGCATCTGATTTCAAAGCGACACTGCACAGATGAAATGTGGAGAATAATTTTTATTTTATATGTGAAATTGTGTAGCCTGGAGAGTATAGCTGTTAGTCTTTTTTATTTTGTGGAGACCGCCTAATTAGAGTGCAGCCTGTAGCATAAGAAGGATGTTCTAGTAGGTTGGGAGATAGCCCATGTCTGCCAAATTCTAGTCTGTGTTCCTGGCTCTGCCAGTGATCTGCTGTATAAACTTGAGTAAACCACTTAATCCACTCCACGCCTCAATTTCTCCATCTGTAACATAAGGATAATACTTCCCTACTTCTCAGGGTTGTTGTGAGGTTTAAATCCATTAATGATTGTGACACACTCAGATGTGGTGGTGGTGTATAAGGAGAGAGAGAGAGATTTTAATACAGCCATGCTTGCACTTCAGATTCAGAATTTCTGGAACCCATTTTTCAAAGGAAGCAGCAGTTTGGGACTGTAGTGGAAACCACATTATGTGGATGGATAGATAGTAACAATCCAATCTGTTTTATATATTTGGGGAAATTTTGTGTTGGCACTATTTTCCAAGAAAAAGTGAATAGAAATTGTTTTCAATTTTTTCCCTTCCATTTGTTTAACAAGACCTACCTTATACATCTTAGGTTTTTCTACAGCATCCAGCACTGTACTCATCTTCTAGATGCTTTTTTGTCATCAGACCTCTTAATTGCTGCATTGTTCACTGTAGCTGTGACCCTTCATTCTCCAGGCCTGAGATCCTTTGCTCTACCCTTTCTGCTCATTGAACATCCTGGTGTCTCCATCCTTACCTTTCTCATGTGCTGGGGACGGGGTGGCTCTGGAACTTGGTTGGGGCTGCTGCTGTACTATCGGAAAAAGCTCAGGTTATCCCTTGCATGCCATGGGGCAAGGAGGTTGGCTGGCTGATCCATGTGGGCTACAGAACCATGTTCCATGGATGGAGCCTATTTCTTGTCTCAGTTGAGTATTAGATTGACTCCAGGACATCAGGATTGGTGCTCTGCTCATTGGTGCGTTTGCACTAGATGGAGTCCTGTACGTGGAGGTTGGATGGCTCAAGTGATTAGAAATGTGACATAGAGATGGTCAGTGATTCTGGTGCTGGTTCAGAGATGTAGAGAGAAATGAGTGGCATAGCTTTTCCTCTCTAGGGTGCAATTTACAGATTGGGGCATGGCTGGTCTTGTGGCTAAAACGCTGGACTGGAACACAAGTGATCTGGGTTCAGTTACTGGTTTTGCCATAGGTTTCCTGTGTGACCTTACACAAGTTAACCTCTCTGTGTCTCACTTTCCCATTTGTAAAATGGGAAAAATACTTCCTGCCTCGTACCCTTTATCTGTCTTGGCAATTTAGATTGTAAGTTCTTTGGGGCAGAGTACTGTCTCTTCCTGCATGAATGTGTATAGCACCTCCCACAATCAGGCCCTTTAGGCAGTACTGTAATACAAAATAATTCATGATGAGTTTTCCTGTTATCTCCTCTAAGATGAGGGAGGTAGGATGCACCAGGTTCAGTCTTTTAATTATTGTATTAAAAACTCAGAGCAGCTTCTTGTATTTCCTCTGTATTACTTACTGCTACATTATCATCCGTATAGGCCTGTGCTCCAGTTTACCTTTAATAGCCTTGATGTGCTCCTGGGACGGTTTCTCTTGCTGACTGCCTGATTTTCTCATCTTTTGCAGCCTGTGGTCCACAGATATTATTAAGTGAAAAAGTAAGTTTTTGTTTGTTTTTTGTTTTTTTCTTTATTTTCATGCAGAGGATATTCTATGAAATGGGAGGTTGGGGAGATGCTGGATATTTGATTTCAGAGCAATGATATATTTTTTAATGTTTTTAGCTTTCCATTTAAGAGCTAGGTATTATTATTATTTATTACTTGAAGCCACAACCAGTGAACGGTAACTTAATGTATAGTAGATAGTCTTTGCAAATTACTTCAACTATTTCACATTCACTTTTTTCTCTGAAGGATGTAAAGTTATTGAATTGAGCAAAATATTTTACAAATGCCACTTTTGCAGTGTACCAAGGGATTATTCTAAAGTGCATGTGATGTGATATTATGCTATAAAATCCAACATTGTAATCTCCACAACTACTGGTTGTTTATTAAATCAGTGTTTTTTAATAAATCATCCTAACTTCCCTGTGTGGATAAATCATGCTTCTTGTATGGAATTAAAATTTAGGAGCCAGATTCTGCATTGATTTACCTCACTATCTTCAGATGGATCCCATTGTTTTCAGGTGGATTACACTGAGTTCTGATAATAAGTCAGTGCCGAATTTGGCTACAGTTCTGGAACATATGAGCAAAACACTTTATTACACTCCTTAGTAGGTATAATGTCTAAAATGGTAGGTTAAAAATATAATCTACTTTTCTTCTTCTATCTGATTTCAAAATCCAAGTAATGTATGTGCATAAAATTGCTTCAAGGGTCTCTCTTCTTTTAATATATATTTAAAAAGTCAAGCACTTGTTAGCAATCCTAAAAAAACAAACGAGACAAAATATCTGTATCTTGTACATTATGGGAAGGAAACAGTTTCAGATTTTTGAGGGCTTGTGAACAAAAATATTGAGTAAATGATAACTGCATTGAAAGGATCTCCTTATTTTGAACCTTTAAAAAAATCAAGAAGGAGGATCTCTGATTTATCTAAAACTATACAGAGAATTTTGCTGGCTTTTGTTTGTTTGTTTTTTTTTGCAAGGGCAGGAAGAGTGTATATCAATTCAGTTCCATTCTGTTTTTTTCACCTCTTCCCTAAAAAAAAGAAACATTGAAAATGTCTCAGGATCCTGATATTCCACATACAAGTGAAGAAAAATCAAGTGATTCAGAGGATATCCAAGAGGACAGCTTGAACAACCCAGATCAATCTATGAGAGAAAGGATACGACAAAGTACCTCAAGTCCACACAGATGCAACAGAGCTCAATGTAAGCAAATCTGTTAAAATAAAGTACAAAAACGTATTTTTCTTGTTGTGAAGATAAATATTTAGATTCTTTTAAAAGGCTCACTGGGTGCTGTGCAATTAACTATTGTGTAATTAATTAAATATTGTATCAATCATTAATAATTAAAAAGGAGAAGGAAACATTTTTTCCTTTAATGTCATTGGCTTTTCTGTCCTGTGAAGCAACCCATAGGGAGGCTGGGTAAGACTGCCATAAGTTAATGCACCCCTCAAGCACTCCTGATCAGGCCACAGTACCAGAATAAAAACCAACAAATGTGTTTCTTCTTCCAAAGTAAGCTTGAAATTCATTCCAGTTAGTTATAGGAAGGAAGTGAAAGCTGTCACTAGAAGTAGTCCTGGAATTCCGTTGTCATCAACTCATAATTTTACTCTCCTTGGTTATTTAGGGTCTGATCCTAAAAGGTGCACAATGCCTTCTATCCTTATTAAAGTTCATGTGGGTGGAAGGTGCTCAGCAACATTGTGGGCTTGCCACCCCATCTGGCTATCCTTCCATCGTAAAATCACCACCCACATCCTTCTAGAGAAGAGTTGTTCCTTCAGTTCACTTTTTGCAATTACTGGGCCAAATCCTTATGTTATCAAAACTCTTATTTAAATAAATGGAAAATTTTCCATGAATAAGGGCTTCAGAATTTGGCCATTTGTCATTTTCGAAATAATTGTTTTCTGTGCTTTTTGTATCTGATTGATTTTGAAAAGTACAGGGAGCCAAATTTAGGTCCCAAACGAGCAGGGTCTCAGAGGCACACTATATATAGCCAGCCTCTGTGTGGTGGGGGAAAGAGCTCTGCGTGTCCTCCTCTAGCAGTTCCCATTGCCCACAAGGAGCAGCATTCAGGTTTCTTGCAATCATTCTCCGGGTGCTGTGTTTTGTTGGGGGAGAATACGAGTGCTATTGTAGAACAACCTGTGGTCATATGGAGGCTCCCATGAACATTTGAAATAGTGTCTTTTACACCCTCCACTACTATGTGAAATCTACATCTACTTTAAACCCTACTGTTGCTGAAAGCCCACAGGCAAATAATAGAGGTCCTATGGTCACAAGGTCCGCTTATGCCTAGAGATACCCATAAGGGAGGAGGAAAGGAAAGCACAGGATCAGGGCCGGCTTCAGGCACCAGCCCAGCAAGCAGGTGCTTGGGGCGGCCAAGGGGAAGGGGCGGCATGTCAGGCTCTTTGGCTGCAATTGGGCGGCAGGTCCCTCTTGGAGGGAAGCACCTGCCACCGAACTCCCGCTGAAGAAGAAAGCAGCGCAGTGGAGCTGCCGCCGGAGTGCCACCGATTGCAATTGCGATCGCGGCTCTTTTTTTTTTTTTCCTGCTGCTTGGGGCGGCAAAAACCCTGGAGCCGGTCCTGCACAGGATATTAATAAACTTCAGCCCTTTGCACCTAACATTACTGTGAACCAGAATCAGTAGAGTGGTGTATTCTACACATGTATCATGTGCATGCCTGTGTCTGTGATCCTAACCAAGGGCCTGCACCTGCAAATACTTATGCATCTGAGTAACTCAGTGCTTCTCAAACTTTTGTATTGGTGACCCCTTTCACATCGCAAGCCTCTGAGTGTGACCCCTTTATGAATTAAAACCACATTTTAAAAAATATTTAACACTATTATAAAAGCTGGAGGCAAAGCGGGGCTTGAGGGTGGTGGCTGACAGCTTCTGACCCCATGTAATAAGAGATCACGACCCTCAATTTGAGAACCCCTGTGAGTCATCTGACTTCAGTGGGAATATTTGAGTGTCTAAGTATTTACAGGATCTGGCCCAATATAGTATGCTCATTTTCTTGTTACATCATCCAATCCATCCGCTTAGCTTTCTGGAGGGTTGTATCCTTTGGTTTATAGTTTAATAGTGTTCTTAACCTTCAAAGGGACCTTACCCTTCGATTTGACCTCTTTTGGGGGGTATGTCAGCTTTTGGTTCTGTCAGTCAGTGTAGTATACCTTAAGTCTGAAAATTAATGAGCTTTAATGGGGCTGGAAACATTTTCAGTCCTAATGCTACAAGGCAGTGACAAACATTCTTGCCAGATCATCACGTTGTGTTAAGGTTTATTGCTAGAGTATGGTCTTTCTTGTTTGGTGTATTTGTGTTTAATGTAGGAGCTGGTTATGATATTACTATTGACTCTGAAAAGTCTGATATGACTAGCAAGTCCCTATAGGTAAAACAAATGAAAAAGCAAATGGGAATTCCCCTGGGTATGATTTCTGCTTATGGCTAAAGAAACAGAATTACCCCAGATATTATTTGCAAAAGCCTGGCAACAATTATGTCTTGAGCCATTGAATACAATGCATTTTATTATTTGTGTTTTTGTTTTTAAAAACAGTGCTAATTATTTGTTGAGCATGATGGTGTTTGGAGCTGTATCAAACACAAGAGACATTCCCTTTGGGATTTATGCTCTAAACCCTGATATTGCAAGATGCCCTTCAGAGAGTCCAGCGTGCTGCCATACATGTGTGAGCAAAAGCAAAAGTCAAGTGGTAGGCATAGTCCTCTGCACTGAGAGGTAGCTAGTCATGAGTGCTGGGTAAAGAAGGGGCTATGGTCAAGAGATGTGTGTGTCTGAAGAGATGTGCTTAAGTGCATTTTTCGGCATACAAATTAGGTGCTTAGCTATAGTTTCCCTTCTTAGTCTTTACTTCTGCTGTTAGGCAGGAATAATTTAGCAATCAGGCAAGAGCACTTTGATTTAAATGCAGGCTGAGTGCACTGCCTGTCTGCTCATCTCTTCAGACTTCGCAATACTCCCCACAGGCATTGTGCAGGATCAAACCCTAGGCAGTAATATGCAAGCCTATAAAGTGCTGGGTGAACTGAAGAGCTGTTTATGACAAAGTGGCACAAGTAATTCTTAAATAAATGACACTTTGTATAGCAGACAATTGGGGAAAGGCTTCTCAATGAAGGGCCTGTTTCATGTAGAAGGTTGCTACCTGCATAATCCCAATTATATAAACCTGTTAATCGATCTAAAAAAATGTATTCCAAATTAACCTAATGTGTGATTAGTATGGATCAAAGGGTTTTATTTCAGTATGGGGGGTGGGGTGTCTGTAATTATATGTAATGTTTTTGCCAAGATTGGAATTGAAGTGACAGAATTATCACAATCACAGGGTGACAGAGCAACCAATCCTTGCTTTCTGTTCTTTATATTCCTCTTTCTCACTTTTCCTTCTGTGCAGCTGGGGAGAAGTCTGGCCAGCCCTCTATTCATCTGATGGCACTAATGATATGGTCTCTTCTCACAGATGATTGGACCAGAGAAGAGCTCTCTTCCCTTTTCTTCTCAGTTTTTGAAAGGCACATGCTTTATTACTCAGAATAGCTTGTTGCAGGCCTGGTCTGTCTCTGTGCTTAGCACTGAGGTCAGCACTGCTACAAGCACAACTTGGGGGGAGACCTTCTCCTAAGAAGGTCAACGGCAAAGCTCCAGTTGATTTCAGTGGGTGCAGCATTACTCCCTTAATCAGCATCTATTATATCATCATCACCTTTACCACATTTATTTCTACATGCTGCTAATGCATTCTGTATCACAGTAACATCAGCCCTGGGATGTTATATAACCTAAGTCAGGAGAAATTGGAACACTAGTTCCCACTATGTTCAGACAGCTGGTACCGTTTTCAAGGCTTGGTTTTACCACCCAGTGACCTTCCACCTCCCATTTTTCTATAGCTAGTTACTCCTTCCTTTACTACCTAATGAACGCTGGACCTGGTGTGTGTGGTGTCCTGCTGCCTCCCATTCCTGTGTGCAATTTCTAATTCTCATGCCACTCCAAACCCCAGTCTCAGGCTTCTTGCCGTGCTCTAGGATATGGAGCATCCCGTGTCCCATTGAGCATACAGAGATGAATGGAAGGAGAAGAGCTGTTGCATCAGAGCACAGGTTAGGCCTTGAAATCATTAGCAAGTTAAGAATGGCAAGACCCTGCTTTCAGGAAACAGGGGGCAAGTAGGTTGCTGGTTCCACCGGAAGTAGAGAAGGGAAAACTAGCTGTTTTCTTGCATAGTGCTGGTGGTGGTGGTGTAAGTGCTTTACAGATACTTTGGAAGACGAGATCCCTCCCTGCCTTGAAAAATGTACAATCCAAATGGCAATGTGCACATAATAAATGCAGCAGAAATCTCCAGGACTGAATGGTGAAGTTGCATATGAAGCTTTTTGGCCCCACAATATTGTCTGCATATTTTGTAGAAATGGTTTGCCCCCTTCACCTGGGAAGGACTTGATTTTATAGCCCTAAAAGAAGATGTGTGTTTTATGGAGGGACTTGATGCAGCAGAGGTTGCAGGCATTTTGGGGCCTAGTTAATGGCTGATTGGAGCACAACAGTGCTGTAGAGGAAGCAGCCTCATCAGATCTATGACATCGAGGGAATCCTCAGCTGGGCTTGTCTACTGGCTCTACATCCCCTTTGTACTGGCCGACTGGTGGAAAGGGGCCCAGAAAGGTGGAGGAGGATCTTACCTCCAGCTTCTGAATGAATAATTAAATGTCATATATTTGTTAATGTTACAGCTAGTCCCCCTCGGCTTGTGTCGATGAAAGAGCTGATGGAAACAGCAAAAGGAGTTTCCAATATGGCGTTAGCACATGAAATTGTAGTCAATGGAGGCTTCCAGATTAAACCAGCTGAATTACCAGAAGGCAGGTAAGATGGTTACTGATAGAAAGAAAGAAATAGCAGTTTATATCACTCCTTTGGATGTAAAGAGTGGAATGTGCAGATACTTTTGGGGAAAAATTCCATGAAAAGAATTGTAATGTGTTTTTTAGCTTTTCACCACTTTTTCATTCTAGCACCACTATTTTACTCTTCTATATTCTTTAACATCCTCTTCCTTTGTAGTAACTATCTAAAGTTGACTCTTGGGCCTGGTCTACACTAGAAAATTTGGTCGGATTAACTATGTCGGTTGGGTGTGTGAAATATCCTCCTCCCTGAGCCAACGTAAGTCCCCATTTAGATAGCGGTAGGTTGACGGAAGAATTCCTACCGACTCTCGGGGAGGCGAATTGCCGTTACGCCAATGGGAGAACCCCTCCTGTCGGCATAGGTAATGTCTGGACTGAAGCGCTGCAGCTGTAGAGTTAGACATACCCTTAAGTTGCTCTTGGAACTGTGAGGAAAATTTAGCAGGGTACACTTTAGTCAAGGCCCTGAGTTTGGTCAAGCTTACTTGCAGGCCTTACACGAAGATCCTGCTTGTTTCTGTGTGTCAAGAGGTAGGAGGAGTCACGGTGGAAAAGTCCCCAAGCAATACAATTTGTAATTTTCCAGGCTTATGAAATATATAACTGCAACAGTTGTGTTAGAAAGGTCGCTGACCGCAAAAGAAAAGACAGTGAGTAACAGGAGGGGCCTAGAGGGGGAGATGATTGTTTTTGCTTTTGGCCTGTATTGATTTTGCAATGTATTCCAAATAAGGTAATTAAAACGGAAGTATGTGTAATTTGTCTGTGGTTTTAACCTTTAAAAGTTGGTTAAGGTTTAAGGAGGGCAGAGCAGCTTGCCACTTTGCATGGGGCTATGCTGACTCTCCTTGCATATATGCTCGCATAAAATTAAAGGAGCCTCAGGCATTTTCTGATTCAAACACAACGAGTGGTTAATTTTCCACAACAGAACAAATGGTTACTGCTTTCAGGATTTGCCTGAACTTCCGTGGTTAATGGAGTAAGAATTCCAAGGTAGCTCCAGGCATCTTCAGAAAAGGATCAAGGCCGCATTCAGATCTGGTGTGAACATTTGCAGCTTCAGTAGAGTTGCACAGTTAAATCAAAACATTGAAACTTGTAACTTGTTGTTGAAGTAATGGGATTATTTACACTAACTCTGAATTTGATCATCCAATTTAGTAAAAATATCTTAATGCCCATGTATTTTGACAAGCGGTGAGTTGTGCTCAGTCATGAAGGAAATACCTCACTGCTATTACATTCTGGTTTCACTTTTCAAATTTTACCCAAAGGACTTGCACCGCTTCTAGGAAATTAATTGGGTTATGTATTGCTAAGAAACACTGATGTTGTTCATGTGAAGATGAAATAAATTGATTTTGTGATTTGTCTTCTCTTTATAGATTACTTTTAGAAGTAGCGTTTTCTGGATGCTTTTAAGGGTCTTGTTTTTGTTTTGTTTTTCACCTGCTCTGTATCTTTTTAGCTGTGATGTCAGCCATTCCAAATCATTCCAGTTTTTATACTCTTGTGCCTGATTAAAATGGCAGTTTTCTCCTCTAAACCTCTCTAATTCATTACATGTAAGATACTAACTTTGATATTGTTGTGTTTACTAACAGCCTGGAGAAAACTGTAAAGGAGATTGTACATAAAGCTTTTTGGGACTGTCTGGAAGCCCAGTTAAGCGAAGATCCACCAACATATGATCAGTCAATTAAACTTGTGGGGGAGATTAAAGAGGTAAGAAGGTGTGACATCAGAAGTAATTTACAGAGATTACATGGCACAGATACGCAAACTGTATACACACAGTTGTTATACAGCGATGGCAAAATGCTCTGTAGAAGTCTAGACGATAGGTTTATCTATAGGCTGTATGGACACATGGGGGAAAAATAATCAAATGCGAAAGCAAGAAATGCCGAGTCATGTTAGATGAAGGGAAGGTTGCAGGTAATGTTACTTTAATAATTCTGAGGTTGCAGTAGCAAAATGTGACATTAATTATTTTTGCTACAATAGCACTTAGAGGCACCAATCTAGATTTAGCGAAAAAACCCACCATCGAAAAAAACCCTCCCTGTCCCAAAGAGCTTACAATCTGAATAACACCAATGCAGTATAGAATGCAGAAAAACTATGATTAAAAAATATACTGTGTAATTTTTGTGGCCCTATGTTTTGAAAAACTATTAAGACGGCATCTGCCATAGAAATCCAGCATGAAGTTGGTTGTTAATTCAGACCATTATTCAGTTCCTTTGTAAGATGGTGAAACAATAATGTTGTTTGTTGTGAAAAACTAACAAAATGAAAATTTGTTTTCTTTCAGACTCTTCTATCTTTCTTATTGCCTGGTCATACTAGATTAAGAAATCAGATTACTGAAGTTCTGGATCTGGAGTTGATAAAGCAGGAGGCAGTGAACGGGGCCCTGGATATTTCTAAGCTGGCAGAATTCATCATCGGAATGATGGGGACCCTTTGTGCTCCAGTTAGAGATGAGGAAATTAAGAAACTGAAAGACATTCATGAAATAGTCCCACTATTCAGGTACTGGAATGACGATAAGGAATTGCAAGGAATCAGACTGTGGGTCACTTAATTAATTTCAGGTTTGCCTGTAGATCCTTGTTAAAGATCCAAATTTTACTTGTGCATGCTGGTGACATAAACAGTCCGCTAGCAAAAAATTCTTTCTAGAAAAATATAAAGCAAGCAGAGGGGGGAAAACTATAAAGAAGAAAATTCCAGCAGCTATTAGCAAGGACCCTTTTGGTTCTGGTGGACTGAAGGTATTTCTATGTAGCTTTGTGTAATTGGAAACAATCATTTTCTGAAATGGCATATTTAGGTAAGAGAATCTTTCCCTTGGATATTGGGAGACCGTCTTAAGAAAATGCATGAATTCCTTGTTCACTTTTCCTTTCTGCTGATATACATTAAATAATTTAGAAAATAATAAAGTTCACTCAGCTTTAGGGTGGTCTTCTACCAATTCTTCCCTCATTTCTCCCCCTCCACCTCCTTTCTCATACATAATAAAAGAATATATTACAGGTGTTTAAAAGTGGAAAGCATATAGGGCCTGGATATGTCTGATGCTATTTTCCGTTTTGTTACTATCTCATTTAAATAAATTGTGCAAGTTCTCAACAGTTATAGGGAATTTTGTTAACTGTCATCAGTTGTGTATTGAGCCATTTGGTTGACACAGGTCAGAGTATACACATGTATAGTGATAAGCCTCATGTTAGACTTTCCTAAATTCAGCATGTGATGACGTGTCCCAAGAGAACTGATCTGTGAAAAGGACTCTAGTACATTCTCAGAAGTTTCTTTACAGGGGAACAAGCCTCATTACCCTGGCGCTCTTTCCCAAGACTTCAAGCTCCATATAAATACTTACCATGCTTTTTTAATGTTCTTAATAGCTCATTTCCTTGGACAGTCTATGCTAAGTAAGTCTTGCAAACTACATTTTAAACATGTGCAGCCCTGCTTGAAAAAATAACATTTCTTTTTTTCTTTTCTTTCTTTCTCCAGAGCAATTTTCTATGTATTAGACTTGATGAAAATGGACATGGCTAACTTTGCTGTCAGTAGCATTAGGCCGCATTTAATGCAACAATCTGTTGAATACGAAAGAGAGAAGTTTCAGAAGATTTTTGAGAAACAGCCAAGTATGACTTTTTTTCCTCTTCTAAATTATGTGCCTTTGCATGTTGGCGTCACAAACACAAAACAACCCACCAAATTCAGTATTTTGTTACATTGGTCCATAATTCAAATAGAGATACCTCTGGTCCCTAAGCTTCAATTCAAGAAATTTACCGGTACAACAATTCTGCATTTCAAAACAAAAAACAAACCCAGACCCAGGATATCAGTATAATATATGACACTATAAATCAGCATCAACATGCTTGTCTGTAGTACTGCCAGATTAATTTGTGGTTTCCATCCAAGAGGTTCTCTGTGTTCAATCTGTTTTGGTATCTTGCAGAAGTTCTGAATCATAAAGCAAATAAAATGCATCTCAGTAACTAGCACCATGGGTAGTAGGAAAGACTAGTAGTGGTATTATTTGAAAACTATTCATGGGGGGGAAAAAGATAACTCCTGAAAATAAGATTTTTACCAAAATGCTTTCTTTCAGATTCTCTAGACTTTGTCACCGACTGGCTGCAAGAAGCATCAGATGATCTTGCCAATTTGAAGTGTAAAAATCCACCTTCCCCTGGTGTTGGTGCTGCTGCTAGTGGAGTTCCTGTATTGTGTCCTGCTGCTGTGCAGAATTGGGCATATCTAAAGCTGCTTAAGTGGGATCATGTGCACAGGCCTTTCCCAGAAGTAGGTATTTAAGAGAAGACGTAGCTTCTTCTATTTAATTTTCTACACTGTTTTTGGTGATATAGCAGAAATCATTTGGATCCATAACCTTGTTCTTGACATAAAATACTAAAAGATTTAGGATTTAACTGGAGCTCTTGCAGTTCTTTTAATAGGATAACTCCATTCTGAAATCTTTCTTTTTTTTTCCTTTTTCAAAACTGAAGTTTAACTGAAGGTGAGGTAGCGTAATCTACTGTATAGATCACTGGACTTGGAATCAGGAGATTTGGGTTCTGTTCCTGGCTCTGTGTCACTGCACAAGTCATTTCCTTTTCTGTGCCTCTGTCTTCCCTCCCACCATTTTTCTGTCTTGTCTATTTAGATTGTAAGCTCTTCAGGACCGGGATAGTCTAATACTTTGCACAGTGCCCCGCACAGGAGTGTTCCAATCTCAGTGGGACCCCTGGATGCTACTGTAATACAAATCATAATGTATTCTTTTTATCAGGTTACTTCTTTAACAGGTGTTCCTTTAGGGAGTTCCACTATGAACTTTCTGTATATGATTTTTGTAATTTTCTGTGGGTTATATATGTATATATGTCTCAAACACTGCCACATGGGCTCTCACTACAGCGGTTCATAAACTGCATTATGTTATGTGAGTTGCAGCTATTGTAAAGAAAAAAGATGCTTCAGAGTTCTTTCTGCATGGCTGAGCAGATGTTTTGATTACTAATGTCTGGTTTTATGCATGCAAAATGTCTGTTTAATAGCTGTTTGTGTATGAGGCTCACAGCATAAATCTCGGGGTTTAGGATTTTGCAGGAGAAGAATTGTCTGTCTTTCTGTCTTGAATCAACTGTCTCTTACCTTCTTATCTTTAAGAGCTGGACGGCTAGTTCATTGCTGGGAAGATTCTGAACCCAAACCTCTGAATTTAAACTAGATTTACAACCTTCAGCTTATTGCAGAAGCAGTGCAGTTAGATTCTGTTGTATCACTATAAACCTAGAGTTATTCCATTGACTTTGACTATTGTATTCAGTTTGATGGAGGAGAATCATAAGGGATATGATATGTCCAGAACTGACATTGAGTTAAGTAATCAAACAGCTGTTTGCCCACCCAGTCTGAACACTCTACAAAATCTTTCCCCTTTATGGTAGTTGTAACTTGTATCTTATGAACCATCTAATGTATTTCCCTGTAACTCTGTTTTGAGAGGAAGGCACGTGTGAGAGAGTTCAGAAAACTAACATTCACAACTGAGCTACAAAAGTTTACATTGTTCACTATAAATTATGATTGGTGTAATGTGATCCATTAATTGATAACTCTCCTGCTTTATTTTGAATGTAGTAACCCAATACGTTTTAACTTTTTATCTCAAAAGGAGAATATTTTTATTCATTTGTCTTGAAACAAATCCATCTGTAATAGAAGCTGAGTAATTCAAAGATGAAACATAAGCATTTTTTTTAAAACATTCTTTTGTGAATTGAATTAATGCTCATTAAAGCGAGGGACTGAAAACATTAGATAAAGCCAGGCATTGTGCAAGTTTACCAACACAGCTCTGTTAAATCACCTTGGTTCTCACCTGCTAATCCCTGATACTCCACTCCTGGATCTTTCTGGAGCTCAAACTGCCTATCATGCTGAGTTTTAATAAATGTAAATAGTGGTATTTGGGATGGAAACAAAGGTCCTTTAAGCACTAAGATGAAACGTTTAGTGACACTTAACCTTGGGTCTACCTTAGGATAAAAAATGTATAATGGATACAAACATCTTCAGTGCATAAACCAGCCACTAACTAACCTGTGTAGAAAGATTTCTCCCATAGGAAGGTTATTCTATAATTGTTCATTGTGGATTTCTTGCACTGTCCACTGTTATAGGGAAAACATCAGATAAGATGGACCATATTTGACTAGACTGATTGTGTAATTAGGTGTTGGAAATAAAAGACTGGTGCACTATCCCACTGCAACACCAATCCCTTGAAGGGTCCTAGAGAGAGAGGAATCTCTAGTAATTATCTAACTTTAACCATAGTAAAAGCTTTTAATTGGAAGAGGAGTGTTTTCTGAGTATTGCATCTTTTTGATATATACTAACAGTGACATTGAATTCTACTGCTATCTGGGAAATCAGGTTTTACGAGTGAACTTGGAAATCTTGTAGGAGGAGCAAATGGAGATAAAAAGCCCTCTCTGGGCTTCCAAACATGCTGCTTACAGAGCACCCCTTATTGGATTTTACTCAGAGTGGCATTGGTATCACTGGCCCATCCTTCAAATGAATGGAATACTGATACAATTTTGAAGTCTGTGTACTAAAGGAATTCAGTTTTCAGAATAATCTTCATTATGTTACATGGCCTCACAATTTCATTTTCACTATACTTTGTTAGCCCAGCATTTTGATTTTACTCTGTCTTTGCAGACATTGTTAATGGACCACACCCGCTTTCAGGAAATGCAGCTGGAGCTGGAACAGCTCACCTTGACTGGTGCTATCCTCCTGGTCATGTTCAATGTAGTAGGTGCAGCGCTTTCCAATCTGCCAGGGTTTGCTGACAAAATCAAAACCATTATAAAGGTGTTGTTGACAGGAATGCACCTTCCGTGAGTATCTGAATGACTCCTACAGAGCATTTCTCAACTATGTTATGTTCAATTGTGGAAGTGGTGTTCAGTGGCTTAATTTTGTTGTGATCCTAGTGAGTATTGATTGCATGGGCTTCTCTTACTCTCTTGACTTCAAGAAACTTAGGGGAGGATAGAAGGGACAAGTGATTAGAATGGAGGGCTTTCACTCATGCAAGCATACAAGGCCAGCAGTTTTTTCTAAGGAAATTAACCACCTTATTCCTTTCCTCATCATCCGACATGCCTGTGCCAAACAATTCATTTGCTGTCATTACTTATTTCATGTGAAGTCTTCTACCAAGTCCACAGCCTTTTGTTGGCAGTTAACCATGCTTCATAGCTTGGACCAGTCTCCCTCCATCCTTCACAAAATTGTTTGTTCTATACATGTGTGCAGACACCTGTTGGTTTAGGATGACTGCCATAGACAGTGGTGGTGAGAGGAACCAGTGTTTTGTTAATATATAGGCTGCTCAAATCAGTATAATTGGACTGATTGTAAAGAGTCAAAATAAATGACTAAGCAACAGTCCTTAAGGAATGGTTTACTCCTTCATGTTCTCTCTAGATCCTTTAACCTGAGTGAATCTTTGGCTACTGTTGGTGAGAAGGTCTGTGCTGAAGTTAATAGCTGTCTTTCCCAACATGGATTCACGCCATTCACAATTGAGAAAGAGATTGCGCTTAAAGGACAGATCCAGACATTGGGAAACTCTGACAACACCATATGCAAGTTGATAGGTAATCTTGGAGTGTATATGCAGTGTTCTCAAACATGCTTTTTTCTTTTGCTACTAGTAAACTCATTGAATAACCTGTTTCGTATGATTTAATATTGATTATTTAATAACACTTGGTTCTGATGTATGGTGAGCCATTAGACAAAGTTGAGTGCCTTACCTTGACCTCTTGAGCAGCTCAGCAACTCTGAAAATCAGGTCAGAATTTAAGTGTAGTTGCCCAAGTTTCAACTGTAGAAGTGATCTTTGAATTCCTAAACTTGGATCTTCACTGAACTGTCCAGCCTCCTGCATCACCTGAAGGTGTAATTATTTAAAGTGATGATCTTTTCAGACAGTAGAACATAATGTTGGGATCTGTGCTCGGAGGAGTCTCTGGACTGAAGTACCTAACACAGGGTGTGCTCTACCTTTTTTTTTTTTGGAATGCACCATGGAGGAAGATCACATGCATTGTTCTTGTTTTGTATTTAAAAACACCTTGGTCCTTTTCCCCCCCTAGATTCTCGAATCCAGACATTTTTGGAGAGCTATCTGACTTCTGGTCATCAGAAATCGTTTCCTGCTATTCCTGGGGGATTAGGCCCTATTCAAAGAGAGATGGAAGAAATTGCTGTCAAGTATGTTCGCCTTGTCAACTATAACAAGATGGTGTTCAGCCCGTACTATGATGTGATCCTCAGCAAACTACTGAATAAGGAAGAATCCCAATTGTTAGGGTAGTCAGAAGAATCATCATACCAGTTTGTATGCTATCTAGATAGTGTTAATTTTGTCTGCTAAAAAAAATTGCAATTAACTTGGCTTTGGAAAATGGCATTCCATTAAAACATAGTTTTATTACTGTAACTCAATAGCACTGATTCTGAAGGGGAAAATTATGTACAAGTTGGGATAGGCGCTTTTAATTAAATGGTAAATAGATGCAATTTTAGCATAACAAATTATGTTTGTTAATTTTATGGCTGTAGTTTTTGCTACTGAGCAGATGTTAGATAAGACTAAACAATTGTACAACCAGACTGCATTTTTAAATTGCGGATTTTGTGGGAGGCTTTTTGTAGCATTCTAACTCTCCAATTTACCATGAAGTTAGTGTATGCGTTCATCTAGCGAAGATTAGCAAAGGTCTCTTCCATACTGAGTGATTTGGCCTTCTGAAATCCTAGTTTTAACAACTGAAGAAATAATTTTAAATTTGAGATGTAAGAAACTTGAGTAATGGTGGTTAAGAGCAGGCCCAAACATAGCACTTTATTGTAATAGTATAAGGCTCCTAGTCTTTCTGCTAATCACATTTTTCTATAGCAATTTTTGCTCTCTATCTGCAAATAAGTTACCAAAAACCTGATATAATTATATTTTGTAGTGAACTTTCTGGTTATCAAATAACTGTCTTCTACTATGTACAGTGTTACAAGGGTGACCGTCTATAAGATTGCAGCTGTATTTATCTCTTTGTAAAACTTTCAGGTGGGCCAAGAGAAAAATGTTTTGATAAGAGTGGTATTTCTTGCCTTTCTTTTGCTGGTAGTTGACTCCTTTTTATGTGAAATACCAATTTAAAAAAGTAAACATTTTAACATTTTCAGAAGATGGATAAAGACTTATGCATTGAATTTCAGGCTTGAGGAAATTTCCTTTTTTTTTTTTTCTAAGACTGTGTAACTTATCAGACAATTGTATATGCTCGTAGTTTCAGAAATATCACTGAAATTGAAACATACCAATAATTTCTTAATATTTTAAACAGTGACTTTAAAAGGTATAGTAGGAAATGAACTATTTAAAGTTCATTTGAAGTCATGGGAAAATATTATTTAGTGTTTTAGATGCTTTTTCACTTTTTACAGATGTTATTGAACTCAAAGTATTTTAGATTCTTGAGAAGATAACTAGCAAGATGTTCTCTAAATGCACTCTGAAGGATTTCTGATCTTAATAATTCATAAAATATGGAAATTTAAACTTTTCTTGGAAGTAAATATAAGGTTTAGGACAGTTAAAAGCAAAATTGAAACTTTCTTCAGCTGATAGAGCCTATCAGGTTTTGAGTAAGAAATGGTTGCCAAAGTTCTTAGCATCTCAGGTAATATAAGGTGAAGTGAGCTCATGTTAATAAATGATAGGCTGGTACCTTGTCCTAAGAGTTCTGGGGCGGGGGGATGCTATGACAAAAATAGAATATTTATTGTATTCTAAAATGAAGAATTTAAAAGAGGGCCTCTTTTTTGACACTATTGATTAATAAAATAATAGACTAGTTGACTAGTCAGTCACATTCAACAGAACAGGGGTAAGAAGGGAGGTACCCTGGAGTACTTATTCTAATACTTACACTTCCCTTTGCATTTTGAAATTTCATTAGTTCCTAGGGCTAGAACTGAGATCGGATGTACGGCTCTAACAGTTTTCTGCTCTATGGGGAAGATGGAATAAAATAACAATAGCTTTACTTGCTTGATGTATCACCACATTAGCGAATTAAATTAATCTCAAACTTTGGTTGCACAATGTGAAACAAAGCTTACCTCATTTTTATGATTACAAAACTAACGACAATATTAGGAAACCATTTTCTTTGTTGGATGGTTCTTTTGGCTGAACTGCTGAAAATATATATTTGAACATTCTTTAGTAAATTGAAAATAAGTAGCTTAAGCTCAAAAGTTTATCTAGCACTATTTTTTTTTGTACTGTCCATGTTCTATTCTACTCTTGGTCTCACTGGTGCACCTCAATCCCTTTGTTCTCTGCCTGTGGCACATAATAGTCTAGTCTTCTATGGGTTGTAATACTTTGGCCTAATTTCAGTTGGGTTTAGTGTGCAGGTGCTGGGTGGTACTGGTGGCCTGTGATACACAAGAGTTCAGACTAGATGACTCTGACCTTTAAACGCTATACTTTTCATAGATAGAAGTTACTGAGGGCTATTAGAGAGATACATTTCTTGCTCTTGTCCTCAAGCATTGGTGGTACACTTCTCCATACCTATGTGTAGCGTCAGTGTGATCTTAACTCTCTTGTGTATTCGCAGTGGATGCTTCAAACCTATTACAACAGATGGTGCTCTTGAATTGCAATGGCCCAAATGCTGCTGCAGCTCCAAAGCTATGTTTTGGTTTTCACCTCAACAATTCCTGAGAGAGATGAAGGTTAGAAAACAGAAAACAAACTACTCTGCTTGTGATATTCTTGTTTATGAGATCTAAGTGTACCGGTTCTAAATTGCTGGGGAAAAGGACATAATGCGCAAAGTGATCAGTACATCTTTCTAGTACCACTACATCCATTTTTGTTATGATGCGAGGGCAGTGGTATGGGATAGGGAGGAGGGACATAGAGACATAGCTGAACTGTTTTTTGTTTTGTTTTTTTAATGGAATTTATCATTTTCACACTCCTCTGTACATTCTGGTTCTTAGGCCATTGGCACAGTTCCTAGTGTAATTTCTAGCCCAGTTTTGTAGATTCAAGTTGTTAAGTGAAAGCTCCCAAACTTCTGACTACTGTACCCTGAAACCTTTTGAGTGATTATTTCAAGGTAGAAACAAGACCAAGACTGATGCCAAAATGAGAAGTAGGAGTCATGAGCTGATAGCCTTAATCCTCAATTTCACATCCTAACATTTTCAAACCTGGGTCGTGTGCTCAGCCCTCCTGAAAATAAAACTACTTAAATCAGATGTTTAAATATGGAGTTAACCACCCAGGTCTGAAAATCTTTGGAGTAGATGTCTAAGTGAGGAATAAGCACACCAGTAGCAGATGAGTGGTGACTGACACAACTTGCTCTCAGCCCGATATGGCTTTTGTGGGTGAGTTTTCTTATTTATGTTGTGCTATAGAAGTGTTTGGGAAATCCTGCACAGAGTTCTAGGCTTAGACTTTAGTACCTCCAGTGGTTCCCCTACCAGCTTTGTTTAAAAATACACTGCATCTGTTTTGGTTTTCTTACTACATTTATCACTGATCGCTTACAAACCAACCTACAAGCTTAATGCTAAACTGAGCATACTGAAACAGCAGAGCATTCATTGAGTAAATGCTGTGATAAGTACAGTGTCAGGATGGGTGATTCACTGTATGGATAAGCAATGGTCAAATACTGAATTGTCAGATAAATGTATACTTGCTTAATGTAGGAGATCATTAGACAAAGCTGCAAAGTCCAGATGTCCATGAGTGCCAGCTCCTGCTTACTGTTCTCACACACACCTGTGCATGTTGCTCATGTGGTCAGTACAGCAAGTCCCGTCTTTCTTAATATTGTGTTTTGTTCCTAAAGCTTTATTAACTTTACACTTTAAAAAAAATCTGGGTAGCAGGCACATTGGTCGAGTGTGGGGTGCTGTACTAACTGAGAACCAACGACTCCATGTTTGGACTTTGTCAGTCTTGCAGATAGTGTAAGTTGCTGCTGTGTTGTAATGTTTATTTTGGGCATTTGTTACCTATTACTAAATTTTAAGTGGTTTTTTTAAGTTACTATATGTCACATTTCAGTTACTTTCCCCAGGTGTTCTAATTGTTGGGTGACAAGCAAAACTGATAAATATTCTTCTCATAAAGTCCCTTTAAAAAATAAATTCAGATAAGTATGGCAACGTAAGCTCTCAGGCCAGCAACTGGAACCTGATTCAACTTCTGTGTGTTGCTTCACGCAGCCACATTTGCTCCTTAGTCTAGAGTTCTGTGCCAAACAGATGAGGGCCTACCTCTGTAAATATCCCCCTCTACCTTGTTTCCCATCAAATGAAAGTATGGTCCTGCAGGTTACTAAGCAATTCCTATTGCAAATCCAATTTACACAATGTGAAGAATATACTTTACTGGCTGAATATGTCCACCTCTTCAAATCTCACTAGCCACCACTAAACTACAGCTCTCCACATGAGTGGTTGGAATTTGTTTGTCTTATGTAGTAAGAGCCTGTATAATCTGGAGAAAAAATAATGCTCTAATTATTAAAGTGCAATGTTGAATATTAAGGTGCAAGTTTAAATGCAATCTAAGAGATGTACAATTACACAGAAGCTGCTTCTAGAAGTACCATTAACTTATTTGAAAATGACTGCAGTGGTTTAAAAAAAATATCTTAATATATTTAATAGCTTGTTTTTGCCTGTAAACTAAAGACAGTAATGATGGATAAAATTAATGCAGGACTAACAGTACTTCTGGAAATTTCAATATACAAAGTGTGCATCTGATAACTTATCTTTCTGTGTTGTCAGTTCTTTTCATTTTAAATTGCTTTGGAATGAGGAAATGCATTATCTTCCAATATTTTGGGGAAGGGGCAGGGGTAGAACTCTGAAACCATCATGAGGAATTACCTCCCAACAAATTTATCTCTTTTGAGGCTGCTTTGTTTGGTTGATGTAAGAGTGTATACATAAAATCTGAATGAGACATGAAGTTTTTGATATCTTTTTATTTTAATGGAATGTTTTTTCCATTTTAAAACTACAAAACAGATTCCATACATTCTGCCATAAATAAAAACAAACAATAAGGCAGGACACTACATGAGCAAACTGAGAACAACTGTTTTCCAGGAACTGTGAATTAAAAATGCTTCACAATTATAAGCCATCCAGTTTTTAAAATAAAACTGTTGAAAGCCCCACAAGACTTCAAGTGGTAGATGTAAACACACTTGAAGAGGAACAAAATGCAATTCAGACATTTTGTGCTATTGTTTTTGAAAAAACCTAATTTTGTTTAGAGCACTTTCTAAGACTCTGCTGATCAAGAACCATACAGTATAAAGAGGCACCACAGTAACAAAACCTCATTGCTGAGATGTTTGTTAAAAACGGTTGTCCCTTTTTAAACACTTGACATAAGAGGCAAAAAAATCTCTTAATACAAGTCTTTCACAGTCTGATTTGGAACTTGTTTCATCGGATTCTCTTTTGCTGTCGTGCTCTGTAGATGTCATGTACAGGAGGAACCACGGATCCCTTCTCCTCTTCATCATCAGAATCTTCATTTGGTCTCTTGACAGCTTTATTGAACATGGTATTATTTTCCACAGGTCCATTGCCTTCCACAGTTAATTCAGGCAGGCCTCCGGTAATTATTCTTACAGCTTCATCAACAGCTTTGGAACAAAGATAAATTGGCTTCAGAAACAAACTGGTTTTTCCTTGATGAGGAAAACAAGTCAGCAAATTATTAAGCTGCTCTGGACACTCTGCAGGTGTACTGAGACACACTGCTGAAAACAGAAGAGAAATGAGTTGCCCTTTGACACCAGGTGAGAGTCAGGATTTCCTACTACTGCTTTTGACAAAGGCTATGCTGCTATAGAAGAGTTAAATCAAAGTGTGCTGCCAAGGGGGGGAGTAGACCTCACATTGAGGACTGTAGCTTAGTTGCTAAAGCAGGATGTTTTGGCTGTGAAATGTTACATTTCAGAAACTTTCTAACAAGTCATTCCTGCCACGTTTCACTTAAGAATAAAGTTAACAGTTCTGTAATACAATGCTTGATTAGAATTTAACAAGGACATGAAAAAAGATGGTTCATTTAAGCTACTGATTAGATCCACTGCATTTTGGACAATGAAGAATTTTGCCATTTTACTCCTTACAAATGTTTGAGAGAGTGTTTTCAGGATACTATAACTTAAAAAATTAAGGCACCTTCTCCATTTAGGGAATTCTCAAAATCTAAGTCATCTCACTAGATGTCAATTTTGCAAGAAAAATGAGTGGGCTGAAAACTATACTCTACTGCATGGGAAAACATCTTCAGGAAAAAGTCAAGTGAAATTTACTGCTCTGACTTTTGAGTCAGGTCAGCTGCATTCAACTTTCAGAAAGAACTGATGTCTAAAGTACTCTACTCCATAAAAGGAAAATGTTATCTTTAATGTCCCTGCCTATGGTGACTTTCTCCTTTAACAAGAGAGACTTAAGTTTCAGGTCTGGTCACTTTCTCAGCATCTCCACCCTATATGGGATCTCTCTGCAGCCCTATTGTGTCATGTTCTACTCTGAGCTAGGAGTTTTATAGGGGACCAGACTCATAAGGTAAAGAAAGATACTTGATCAGTTTCGATCACTTTTTGAGTATACAGCCCCATTCTGAACTGTTACTGCATACTCTAAAATGGCCAATGCTTTTTAAGTTTGTGAAATGTGTATGCCCAGGTCCAGCCCTGGGGTTTTTATTAGCTGAGTTATGAACCATTCACCAAAGGAAATTAGTGCACTAACAGAAACAATAATGAATCAGAGAATTACAGAAATATACTGACCCAATAATTCTCATTTCTTTATTATAGGGAAATCTCAGATAATCAAATGACAGCAAGCAGCAGCCTAATCTCAGTACAGACTTCCTCTGTAAGAGGCTATATAGCTATCCCCATACTCACCTTGCACTGCCATGTTGCTACTTCAATGACAGGGGAAAAAAAAAACAACACCACCACTTACTTTCTGGCATTTTGCATCTTCGAAAAATCTCCATGAGTTCATCCACTTGCACAAAAGGCCCCTGTTATTGGAGAAGAATTTAGATGACTGACTAGGAAATATCTACACATTACTGGAAGCATTACGTAGCACAGTATATATAATTCATTCAGTAAAGCACGCTACTGAAGTGTCTGTACCAGTTGTGAAGCCTGTGGAATATATTAAATTATTGAAACAAACCTGAAAACACACAGGAGGTGGGAGGAGCTTCATTAAAACTACAGCAGCTGGTGGGACTGGAAATACACCGCCTGGCACAGGATGCAAACCTGGAGCTATTGAGAAAAAGAACAGTATAAATCAAATGTGAATGGCAAAGTAATTTAAGCTTTCGAGCTCTTGTATATGACAGAAATGAATAACGGGCAGACATAATCTAAAAGTACATTTTGTCATCATCTTCAGCTATCTGAATCCTAAAGTATAAAACAGTAGTTCTCAAACTTTTGTACTGGTGACCCCTTTCACATAGAAAGCCTCTGAGTGCGACCCCCCCTTTTAAATTAAAAACACTTTTTATATATTTAACATTATTAAAAATGCTGGCGGGACTTAGGGTGGAGACTGACAGCTCATGACACACGCCTCCCGTGTAATACCCTCACGACCCCGAGAGGTCCCGACCCCCAGTCTGAGAACCCCTGGAATAAAACAACCTACATCGTCTTATTACAGCTAGCAGAAGCCTCGGGGCCAGATTCTGCAACCCTTTATCATGCTTACCTTAGTCTGGCCTCTGTTCAGCAAAGACTTAAGTCTATCCCAATCCAGCAAAGCACCTAAGAACCAACTTAACTTTAGATGTGCATAAATTCTTTTGAAGTCCCAGTGGGATTTAAGCAGATGCCTAAAGTTGATGTTTTTCAGAACAGGGGCCTTCATGAGTAGCTCAATTAAATTCAATGGGATGGCTTAATCTGAGTTAGGGGGTGGTAACAGGCCCCTGAACGAAATCTTTTTAACCTGAACATGACTAAACTCTTGACTTACGTGCTAAATGTCTTGGCTGAAATGGAATCATCTGCTGTGTGTCTGGTTTTGGGTATTCAGGTTTTCTGTCCACTTCATCTTTTAGAACAGGCACTATAGAAGGAGCCACCACGGGGTCTGGAATTATGGCTGCTAACTTGGCACGTGAGACATCCTGAAAACACAAATTAGAGAGCACTGAACCAGGGAATTTAGTAATTTCATGTTTTAAATTACACAAAGCAATATCATAGTAGGAATTAAAGATAGATTGACAATCTCAGCTACGTTTTTTCTAATGTTTTCTGAAGACATTTAGTTCAATCTATTCAAATGACAGTTCTGCTTTGAGGCCCCAGCTGAGATCAGACTCCATTGTTCTAGGCACAGAACAATGATTTAGGGCTTGTCTAAATACAAGGTGTACCAGCTTAACTTAAATGGGTTTAAAAACAGTTAAACTGATGCAAATCACGGTGTGGACACACTTTTTTGTGTGTGTTTAAACCTGACTTATAATGGTTCATCTTGCATCTGCAAAACATTTTCTCTCATCTCATTTGTGGAAACAGCTGAACCATTTTAACTGAAATGTCACCAAAAAAAGAAAAAACAATGTCAGTATGAGGCCTGCACCCAGCATTGGAAATTTTAGCTCAGCAGAAATTTAGCAAAATAATAAGATACTGTTTTCAGTATCTTAAAATGGAAAATTTTAGGCAACCTTAATTAAAGGCATTGCTACTTGCACCATCTGAAACACTTGGTTGTGTCTGTATATTGTGTGTATTTATAAACATTTTATGTTAAAAAAAAAAAAACCTAACACCACACACACACATATT